ACCCATTCCGGGCTGCAAATCTCCCTTTGCCCCTTTGCAAACGGCCGGGGAGGTCTCTGCCCCCCGAGGTGCATCCCCCCTGCCCAAGACGGCTGCAGCAGCCTGGGCACGAGCCATAAATCACAGGGCAGCAGCAGGGCCCACAGCACCTGATGGCCGTACGTGATCTTTTCCAGCATGCCAAGAAAGAGCCAGGGTGCCGAGAAGAGCTTATCACACTGCGGCAGCAGGGGCTCTTCCCAGACTACAGCTGTCCCCTGCCTCGGGGACGCGTGACACATCCCTGAGCATCCCTGTGTCCGGAATTGAAATGAGCTGCAGCAGAGACGGGAGTCTGCTGTGCTGAGACACAGGCAGCCACAACATTTCTCCATAGCCCTGGGCTGCATCCAGCACACGCTCCCTTCCCACCAGAAGCTGGAGGAACCCGGGACACTGYGGATCTCCCCTCTGAGCTCTCTGGCACAACAAGTTGAATTAAAGATCCTGTGCAAGACTTGCAAAGTGCAGGGGTGAAGTCAGGAGGGAATAGCTCCAGCCCAAGGCTTTGCCTTTCCCTGCACTTGCTCTTCAAGCAAAGAAACTGGATTTTGCTCTGGCACAGCTCACGGCAGCATCATCCTCACTTCCATACCTTGCTATTAAGCCCATACTGCCTTAAAACACAGAGGAAGCTCCAGTGCAGCTTGGCTGGCAAAGCCTCCTTGCCTCTTCACCAGGACCAAAGGCAGGACCAAGTTTGGACCTGACCAAAGCCAGGACCAAAGCAACCTCGGCAAGCACAGGAGACCATGCAGAACCCCAGGAGCTTGATGGGTGAGCGCAGGGAGCCCTGGCACCCCGGCACCTCCCAGGAGCAGTGTCAGTTGGCAGCTCACCTTCTCCTAAATGGACTTGTACTTGGCCAGTCTTGTGCAAACTGCTCTCCTGGCTCCTCTGCCAACCTGGAGGCCCTCAAAGTTATTTCACTGCCTGCTCATAAGGAGCCTCTGCTCGCCRTGTAGATGTTAGCGGTGTAAAGCTTGTGCCCAGGGACAGGCCAGGGAGCTACTGCATGAAGAAGCACTTCATAGTTTCCAGCCCTGATCTAAATTAAGCAACCAACCTTTGCAAACACACATTTCACAGTGACTATGAGTTCTGGCCCTCTTTGCACAGCTCCGTCCTCCTCCAGGACATCAGGCACGGCACGAGGCTGAGCCTGGTGCAGAGGGGCCAGAGGAGCCCACAGGGGTGGGATTAAGGAACCCCCAGGGTTGCCAGAGTGTGCACAGGGGTCCAGGGCACRGCAACGTGCATGGATGATGATGCAGACACCCTGCAGTCCTTGCAGTCCAACGTCCCACGCAAGTTAAATGGCTTGAAACGGCAGCGGCTCCCATGGAAAGCGGGCGATCCCGGGAGAGCAGGGAGTGCTGGGCCCCCCCGGCTGCCCGGCGGGAGCCGCTCCGGCCGCGGCGCCCCGACCACGGTCAGAGTTTCCAGCAGAGCCCGGGGCTCTCTCCGCCGTCGCGTCGTCTCYGAGTGACCTGCTCCCTGCCTCCAATCGCCGCTCAGGAATGTTGTTTGGGTTGCAGCAAGCATTGCAGAAAGAGGGGGAAAAAAAAAGAGGGAGGCGGGAGCAGGGAGGCGAAAGAGCGTTTGCTCCTTGACCCGTGCGTGCTTCGAAGAGCAGATCACAACTGGCACCGCAGCATCGTGCAGGAGCACTCTGGGGTCCGTGAGCCTTGCCCTAGCACTGCAGCCCCCATAACATCTCTGGGACTGCAGGATGGGGCTGCGGCACCCGAGCAACGCGGTGCAGAGTTTTCTCGAGAGCTTTCTCCTCTGCAAGGATTTTAGGGACGTTGCAGCCACTCGGAGTCCCCATCTGCCTGGCTTTCCACTGCTCTTTCATTATGGCCATGTGCTAAACCTGTCAGCTTCCCAGAGCCGGGTTTCAGGGAAGCCTTTTGAAAAGGGCCATATGAGCCAAAAACACCTAAGGGTCCCCCTGGCTCCTGCACCAGCCCCAACAGGGCAGCTGGGACCTTGCCCTTAGGCACTTGCCCTAGCAGAGGAGCTGGAGGTGCTCTGGGCAGCAAGGCCAGTGCACGGCAAAGTCCTTAAATAAAATCCCTCATTTTCAAGCACCTGGAGCCCTAACTGGCCACAAAGCGCCCCAGCAGCGCAGAGGGTCAAGGACCTTACAGGGAAAGGGACAAGCAGGGAGACACAGCAGCTGGTGGCCCCAGCAGAGCTGAAACTCCTCAGAAAGGTGGAGGGGCAGAAATAACATTTCCATGAGCATCAAAGAAAGCTGCTTGGAAGGAGCCATGCTTATGATAGCCACTGATTTGGRATGCACATGGTGCATCTGATAGTTTTCTCTTCATCTAGGCATCAGTTTTGATTTTTTTGTTATGGCCTTGAAGCCTCCAGCATCTTTGCCAGAAGCAGCCTGACAAACCAGTGTCTGTCTGCAGAAGACAACACTTGCAGCTCACGGCTCCAAGCGCAGGATTTGCAAACTGAAGGCAAACCCGGATTAGATTTGATGGTTTCAAACACAAAACTCAAGAGCATTTGATCAAAGAAACTGGAACGAGCCCAACCAAAATAGACACTGCTCACATCAGTTGGGTTTAGAAAACCGAAGCAAACTAGTACAGGCATCTGTCCGGCCCTGATGAAATACAGACAGCAGAGTATCGGCTCTGGATGAGATTACAGAGCGATAGGGCCAATGGCCCAGAGCAGGCAGGACAGCTTGTTCCCAGCTCCTGTCACCAGTTCAGGGCTTTCTTTGAAACCTCAGCAATAAGGAACATGGAGCTCACAGGAGGAGAGGCTTAAAAAGTTTAATCAAAGTCACCTGGGGACAGGGAAAGGGCCATGGAAGTTTTGTCTTGGCCCAAGAAGAACAGTAGCATTGAGGTCTTATCAAAGCCCACCCCGCGTGCCAGGAATGTGGAGCGAGGCAAGCAAGAGCCTCTGGCAGCGTGGAGATACCGGCTGCCTGAAGCATGAGACTGCAGGGTTGACAGGGGGAAAAAACCCTTTGCGCTTCTTTAGATGGCAATAATTCCCTTCCCTGCGATAGCTCTGCCTTCCTAGAAGGGAGCAAAGCCAGACAGATGATGCCGCAGGAGAGCAGCAGACCTCAGAGCAYGAGGCGGCCATGGAGAGGGCATCGTAGCTATGGGCAAGCATCTCCTTTGGGACAGCTGTGTGGCAGCACCGGGTCAGGGTCCCTTGAGGAGCAAGGACTCCCCCGAGGGCAGGAGCCCCTCGGCCACTGCACCACAGCCTCCCCGAGCCCAGCATCCCGCCCCGAGCCACCAGTATTTTTAGCCTCCAGAAGACAAAGAGGCCGCATTTGTTATCTAGTCCTGCCGATGAGACATTGCTTTTCCAGAAAAAACATCCAAGCCCTCGGAGCTCTTGGCCACCGGCACCTCCGGAGCTGCCAGAGATGTGACGCTGGTTGACACCATCCCAGCACGGCGCAGATGTTACTGGCTGCCGCTACCCACTGCGGCCCTTGCCCTGGAATGGGCTCTCTCTCCAAGTTGGGTTGTTCTCCACGTTAACTTGGAGATTCACCCTGCTGCAGGTTCCCGGGTTTCGTCTGGAAGTGGCGGTGCCACCTCCCCAGCTGAAGGCCACGGGGGCTCAGGGTTTCCTGCAGAGAGCGCGAAACCAGGATTTTCCCAGGATTTTGTCTCCTTCCCAGGATTTTGTCTCCTTCCAGCTAGTGCAACACCCTGTCTCCTCTTTTCACACTTTAAGAGTTTCTCTGATTCATCTGCGACGGCAGCCGGGCGCAGTGAGCTGTGCTTTCCAGGCACACTCTTCCTTCCCAAAAAGACTCGCTTGCTGGCACAGTCCCCACTGTACAGCCTGTCCCTTGCAACCCCATCCACGATCCACCCGCACATTCCTCCTCCTTGCAACAGGGACCTTGGAGCGACAGGGATCTTTGCAAGGTTTCCCGGGATGTTTTGGCTGGGAAACTTCAATGGAAAATGAGTTTAAGAAGGAAGRAAAAAAATATATCTGGCACCTGCTGAGCTCCCTGTGCAGCTCCAGCTCCTCGGAGAGCCCGAGCCACAGCCGGGGCACTGGCAGGGACGGGTGGCCGGGCTCCTCCTTCCCCTCCTTTCCTTGTGGGAGGAAATGCTTCAGCTGCGACACTGGCAACGTCTTGGGCCGAACAGGAGCTGCTGGGGGACACGGGGCAATCGCTCCCCAGCTCCTGTCCCGCAGCACAAGGTGCTCCTGGAGGGCCGTGAGGCTCCATCTCTCCTTGCCCAGCTGCAGGCGACCTTGGCRCACACCTCCTGGCCCTGGTGCCATCCCTGTGTCCCCCCAGTGTCACCCCCAAGGGTGGGCACCACCTCCCAAGCCTGGACACCCCCTCCTGCCAAACCCGAGGCAAATTCCTGCTGCCACAGTGGCCCTTTGGTAGGCAATTTATTTACCTTGGATTCTGCAGCCTTATCGTTCGGGGAAATRTTTACCCTAAATATTTAGTAGCAGAACTGCACAAACTGAGGCTTCCTGGGGAAGAAACCCGGGCTGCAGCCGGGGAGCAGCCACTGACATTTCTCTCCTGCAAAAGTTAAAGATACTCTCCTGCTTCACCCCAAGAATCACATCCTCAGCTCCTCAAACCCAAATCTCCTTAATCTGGCTAGAGGCCTCCTCATCACTTCCTGATGAGAAACACAGGAGACCTAACAACAGCCCTTTTAAAAACAACATCCTCGATTCCACTAACTCGTTAAACAGAGAGAGCCTGAAAAGTGCCAACGCTCCTATGAGAAAAGACGAGAGAGAGAGGGAGGGAGGAAAGAAAAAGCAGGTTATTTATAACGCCAGGCAGCATTAGGGTCTATCCAGTCGCTCCTGCGAACCGCCCGCTGCTAGGAGGTCACTCCCCAAAAACCTGCTGAGCCCGTGACCTGCACACGGAGTCGGAGCCGGGAGCCAGCGCGGGCACCAGCCTTTGCACTGGGGAGGCTCCCTCGCATGCTCCTCAGCTCCCCGCAGAGCCCACGGAGCAGCCACRCGCCGGGCGGGAGACTCGCAGCTCGGTGAGTCCAACTCCCTGTTTATGGGGATTTTTTTTTTTTTTTTTCAGCTCCCATTTCCATAGCCTGGCAGGACGGGTGGCATGAGGGTGCCCGCGTGCTGCTGGCACAGCGCTGCTCAAACGCATGCCCGCAACGCAGGAGGACTTGGAACAGCCTTGTGCATCCCTCCTCGTGCCATCCATATGGAGGGACCCCCGGGCTTGGGCAGGTGCCCCGCTTCTGGCAAAGCAGGGCTTGGGTTTTGCCTGGCAGAAATCGGCAGCAATGGGGGGGAAGTGCCAGACCCAAAGGCTGCGATGCCCTGGCTCCAAATGCTGCTCCGAACCGGGGCTGACCCACTTAAACCAGCAGCTTTTGGGAAGCAAGTGCGGAGATTCAGAGCCGAAACTATCATAGCTCGGGTGGCAGCCAGGAGCGTGGCTGAAGGTGGCTCGGGAAGGGAGAGAAAACCTTTAAACAAGGCAGTGTGGAGATGGGGTCTGCTGAGGACCCCCTACTGAAAGGGACCCAGGGAACAGCAAAGGACCCTTCGGATCAGCCCAGCGACCCTGAAGGGCAGCAGGGCGGCACAGCCACCGTCAGCGAGGCTGGAAGCAGCCCCGTGCAGAGCAGCTCTGGTGTTTTACCAGGCAAAATGCCCTGGAACAGGAGGAGGAGAAAAAACGAACGCGCAGCCACCTCGGTGCCAAGGTCTCGGCACGCACGGAGCATCCCGAGCACCACCCTCGCCCGCCCCTCCGCCAGGGAAAGGAGGAGGGAGAGGAGGAAGGAGAGGGAGCCTTGTCTGCCCACCCAGGCCTCAATCCCGCTTTTCTTCCAGCGGGAGCAGCCTGCCAGGGCGCCTCGGTCGCAGCTCGCTCCCGGTGCGGAGCAGAACTGTGCCCCCTTTGTGTGCTGGGCTCCGGGATAGCGCCGGGATTGGAAATACCCTCCCGACGTGGCTGCACCGGGGCTGGGAGCAGCCGGCCAGGCACAGGCAACCCTGGCAGCTCCCTGGGAAAATGGGCCCAGTGAGGGAAGAGGGAAGGGAGCCCAGGCGTGCCATCTGGGCAGGCCACTGGCAGGGGTGCGAATGCTCCATGGGTGCAGCCGGTTCCACCGCCACGGCTCCACAGGGGCACCCACAGCTCAGCAGTGGGGACGTGGTGACATTTYCCCAAGCCACCTCACAGCCAACTCCTCTTGGGCAGGGCGCCCTTGAGGTCCCATCCCGGATTTCCCCAGCACCACAGCAGCATTTGGCGCACGTGCTGGAGCGAAGACCCCTCTATGTGACCCAGGTCACATAGCACGGCTCTCGGCATAGCGGGGGGGACACGCRCTGCCCCCATGTCCCCCGCGCTGGCCACGCTCCTGCTGCCGCGGCGGAGCTGGCAGGAGGCTCCGAGCAGCCCTGCGCTCCCAGCCACGTAGATAGGAGCCAGCAGGCAGGAGCGGATCCCAACAGCCCAGCCCGGAGCGTTTCCTGGAGGCGTTTCAAGCCGGCTCACTYGCATGCAATTCCCACTGCTGCACTCAGCGCGGGGCCAGAGTCTTCTCTGGTCACCAGCACACCGTATAGGGCACCACTGGTGTCCCCTCTGGGTGAGTGGAGCGGAAACTCTGCTGCCCGCGACCATTTCACCCTCCTCTCTTCTGCATTTTACCCCTGCACAGGTCAATCTTCATAAACACAGCCAAAACTTGAGGTTTTATGTTCACTCCCTCCCCTATTTGTCATGCTGGCCTCAAAGGGCAGGAGGACGATGCTGCTTTGATGTGGGGTCAGGAGAATTAGCTGAACTCGGAAAAAATCTAGGCTTAAAAGTCTTTTAAACTTCCAAAGAAGCCGGAACTTGTTTACCAGGATTTACGTCGGCCGCTGGCGGCAGGAACATCCTACATTTTTGTGGGGGAAGGGAGAGCTGGATGAAACCCGCAGCAAACCACAGCACRAGCAAGCACCGCGCAGACACAGCCCCATCAACCTGCCCTTGCAATTCCCACTTTTCCCCTTTTGGAGCGGGAATTGGTCCCCCAGACCCACATGCATTAAGCATCCATGCAGCAAGTAGGTGCTGAGCCTGGGTTTGAGTGCCCAGATGCAAAATGCCCACATTTTGGGGAAGAGTTGGGTTGCCTTTTCACGTGCTCTACCTAAGACTGTGGGCACTGAGTCTTTATCCAGCAGTGATATATCAGCAGTGAAATATCGGTAGTATTTCTTGTAGTATTATACCAATAATAGTATACAGCAGTATTTCTAGACTTTGCAAGCAGAGAGCCACTAAAATAGAGCATTTGCAGAAAGCACACAGTGAAAGGATGGCAGCTCAGCAACTTCAGAGAGGAGATGTTTGCAGACACCCTTTTAATAGGATTTAGAGTTATCCCACTCCGTTGCTGAGCACAGAGTGGGATAACCCCAAACYGGCACCAGAGCTGAGCACAGACCCCAAATCTCCCAATTCCCATGCCTGCATTTGCTGATGTTTCCTCCCTCCAGGTTCCCCCAGGGTCAGCATCATGCGTTGGGCCACGGTGCTGATAGTCGCTGGTCTCTGCGGACTCTCCCTGGGCCAGTACAATGAAGAAGAAGACCTGGCCTGGCTGCAGTACTACATGCGRCAGTCCCGCCTCTCCTCCTATAACTACATGCCCTACTATGAGGATGAAAACACTCCTTACGTCTATTCCTACCTCCCTGCTCCGGATGCGGAGGTAGAGCCCGGCCCCGAAGCTCAACAGGCGCCTTCCCGAGAATGTCCCCAAGAGTGCGACTGTCCCCCTAACTTCTCGGCAGCCATGTACTGCGACACGCGCAACCTGAGGTATCTGCCCTTCGTGCCTTCCAGGATGAAGTACGTCTACTTCCAGAACAACCAGATCACCTCCATCCAGGAGGGCGCGTTCGACAACGCCACAGAGCTGGAGTGGCTCGCGCTGCACAACAACCAGATCACCAGCGAGAAGATGGGCAAGAGGGTCTTTACCAAGCTCAGGAACCTGGAGAGGTTATACATGAACAACAACAACTTGACCAAGATGCCTGGCCCCTTGCCCCGCTCCCTGAGGGAGCTCCACTTGTCTTACAACCAGATCTCCAAGGTCCCGTCCAATGCTCTGGAGGGCCTGGAGAACCTCACAGCCCTGTACCTCAGCCACAACCAGATTTTTGAAATGGGAGCCTCCCTCAAAGGGCTCAAGTCCTTGATCCTTGCTGATCTGAGCTACAACCACCTCAGGAAAGTCCCTGATGGCCTCCCAATGGCCCTGGAACAGCTCTACCTAGAGTACAACCACATCAACACCATTCCTGATGACTATTTCAGAGTCTCTCCCAAGCTGCTCTATGTGAGGATGTCCCACAACAGCCTCACAAACCAGGGTCTCTCCACCAACACTTTCAATAGCAGCAGCATCCTCGAGCTGGACCTCTCCTACAACAGGCTTCAGAAGATCCCACGGGTCAGCACCAACCTGGAGAACCTTTACCTCCAAGGGAACCAAATCAACGGTGAGTAGATCTCCATGAGCCAAAGCATGTTGATGGATAGGTAGCAATAACATATGCAGCCAATGCAGTGATGGGAACACCAAGTCCATCCCTTCCTCCTTCCCTACTAGGGGCTGCCCAGGATAATGTTTTAGGCAGGGAGCTCTATTCCACAGGACACACACCATCCAGGTGGTCTTTATCAAGACAAGATTGGGGCCTGCTGGCTCCTCACATACACCTGGAGCTGAAAATTTGAACGCTCCCCTGCAGACACTTGCAGTGATCAATTAAGCYGTTAAGCTGATTTCTTCTGAGGTTAGCAGGAGCCTCAGTATTTCCTGGTGAGAATCAAGGCTGAGAGTGCTGGCTCATTGCTAAGGAGTGTCTGATACCTGCAGGGACCTCCCTGCTCCTCGTCCTTTCTAAAGGGCCCCCCAGGAGGGCCTGGGAGCTGCACCTTTCCCCGGCAGCTCCGTTGGAACCGGTGCTGTGGGATCTGTGTGCCCCTGTGGTCCCTCCTGCTCTGGCCAGGACCCGCGATCGGTAGGAGCTCGTCCTTATTAGAACCATCTACATGGCATCGTTTGCCAGGGTTAAAACCCACTCCGTTTCATACACAAATAAATAGAAGGAACAAATTGTTCTGGAGTTGCTGTGTATAAAAACAGCTACAAAAACAACAAATATTGAAACTCCTGGAAAAATCCACTCTTGCTCCTCTCACCTGCCAGACCCTGAGGGCAGCACGGGGAGAGGGAGAACTGTGTGCAGTTCTGGGCACCCCAGTATAGGAGGGACGTGGAGCTTCTGGAGAGGGTCCAGAGAAGGGCAACCAGGATGATTAAGGGAATGGAACATCTCTCGTATGAAGAGAGGCTGAGCGAGCTGGGCCTGTTTTCTCTGGAGAAGAGACGGCTCAGAGGGGATATGATTAATATGTATAAGTTCAGGAAGGGAGAATGCAGGGAGGAAGGGGACAGGCTGTTCTCACTGGTGGCCAGCGATAGGACGAGGGGTAATGGCCACAAGCTGAAGCACAAGAAGTTCCGTCTCCAGGTGAGGAGCAACTTCTTTACTGTKAGGGTGACAGAGCAGTGGAACAGGCTGCCCAGGGAGGTTGTRGAGTCTCCTACTCTGGAGGTCTTCAAAACCCGCCTGGATGCCRCCCTGTGCCACATGCAGTAGGTGTGCCTGCTTGAGCAGGAAGGTTGGACTAGATGATCTGTAGAGGTCCCTTCCAACCTTAAATATTCTGAAATATTCTGAAATATTCTGAAATATTCTGAAATATTCTGAAGCCCCAGCGTGGGCTGCTCCGCGTGGGACGAAGACCCGCTGGCAAAAACAGGGAAACACCCAGCCCCGCAGCAAGGAGCAAAAACCCTGCAGCAGATCCCCGAATGTTTGCTTTCCAAACCTGCAGCGAGCGAAAGCTGCAGCCCTGCAGCGCGTGCGGTGGTTGCGCCGAGCCCTGGGGGGAAGGACGAGCCCCGCTGCGGTCGCTAACGCGCTTCAGGCTCCCGTGCAGGGCCGGGCGCACCGGGCCGCGCAGCACCGGGAGCGGAGGAGGCTGCTCCTTCCCCGAGCAGGGCCACGGGCCGCAGCTTTGCTGCCCTCTAGCCCGGCGGTTCTCTCCCAAATCCTGCACAAAACCCGGGATTTGCTTCGCGTTCTCGCGTCCCAAAGCCCAGGGCGGCTCCAAAGCTTTTCTAATGCATCCCGGAGTTTTCCTGCCTGGGGTAGTGGAGGTGTCCGCACAAATGGGGAGAATAGGAGGGGACATTTGCTGGCAGGACGTTTGCTGCACAACCTGAGCCCCGAGGGGACTGGGATGTCCTCCTGAGCAGGGATGCTGCCTCGGAGGTCCCACTTCTGTGCTGGTGCCTCAGGAACTGGGAATGGGAGGGTATAGCATGGGAAGAAACATCAGAAAGGCTCAAAAATTTGGGGCACAGCTGGTAGTCTGTGGGGGCTTCCAGGTCTTCCCTGCCCACCTGAACAGAAGCTGTTGGATATCAGGAGCCATCAGAGCCACCTGCAGACGTGGTTTGGTTCCCTCGCATCCGTCACCTCTGACGATGCTGACCCATATCCATGTGCGCGGATCTCCGGAGGGCTCTTAGGATGGCTGCTAGGGCCCCATGGGGCAACACGGGGACCAGCCGCTATCAGGTTTTGTGGGTTGGCTCCAYGTAGACGCTGCTGAGCTCCAAGGGGCATCACGCAGGTTGGTCTGGGAAGCCRGGGGCAAGCAGGGCGCTCAGCTCTCCACCCCCTTCCCGCAGAGTTCTCCATCAGCAGCTTCTGCACCGTCGTGGACGTCATGAACTACTCGCGGCTCCAGGTGCTGCGGCTCGACGGCAACGAGATCAAGCGGAACGCGGTGCCGCCGGACGCGCCGCTGTGCCTGCGCCGCGCCACCATCATCGAGATCTAGCCCGGCGTCCCCTCCCGTCCTCAGGACAGCGCTGCCCGTGCCCGGGGACRCTCGCTCCCATCTCATCGCAGCTTGGCGCCTCGGCTCGGCTTCCGCGATAGCGCAGCCCGCGTGGGCCAAGGGCAGCGCACGCCGGTGCCCGGGCGGGATCCCGCCATTCCCGAGCGCATCCCCCTTCCCGCGGGAAAGGGATGGGTCCGGGCTCAGCTCCCCGCAGTGCTGCTCTCCAGAGCGCAGCCTCTAGGCGGGGGGGACGTATCCCGGCTCCACGGAGCGGGCAGCTCCGGCTGGGAGGGTTTCCGCACGTGTCCTGCAGGACGAGCACATTTAACATGATGTATCCCGGGATTTCTCTTGATGTCCCCAGGGCAGCTGCACAGGTTAATGGTTCCCAGGTGGCAGCAGCCCTCGGACGGGGACAGGGACAGCAAGTCCCCGCTTCCCCCTGGCTGTCCCCAGCCTGCTCCAAACAGCTCTGGCAATAAAGCTGATGGGAGAGGAACCTTTCCCGCTCAGCATTTCCCCCAGGATAAGGTTTATGCATGAGCAGCACGTTTTAATTCCACATCTCCCAAACAGCTGCTTGGCTCCTTGGAGGAGCCGGGCTGGGGACCGAGGGCAGCTGAGCTCTGGAGAGGACTTGCAAAGCTGACAAGGCCACCTAGACCCTCTGCATTTAAACTGCATGCTAACAGTATAGAAACAGACCCCCCAACCCCCTGTACTATCACCGGCGCGTGACCCGTAGGCATCGTAAACGGCCAATAAAGCCCTTTCTGTAACTGCATGAGACGTGTCCAAGGAATCGCAGGCCGAGGGCTGCACCTCTGCCTGGTGACAGCGGCCCTGAGCGCTTCGGGTCTCAAGTGTCATTTGTTGGAAGAGAAGAGTAAATTTGGGTGCCTTGCAGGAGGTGCTTAGTATTTTCAGTGGAGGGGAAAGAAAAAAAAAAAAAAAAAAGAAAAAAAAAAGAAAGAACGAAAGAAATGAGGTATTTTCTGCTTTGGCTTCAGGGCTGCAGTTTCCCACCCCTCTTGCAGAGCAGCTACAAACACAACGTGGGCTGCACTTGCCGTCTAGCGGCTGTAGCCGACACTACAGGCGCACACACGCGTGGGACTGCTCTGCAGTCTGTTCCGTTCCCTGGACCCCTATCCGACACGAGCAAGGTCGCACGCCTGGCCACCTTTCCCGCGGCCCGAGGGAGCACGAGGCCCTTGGAGGTCCCCAGCTGCGGGAACGGGGACCGCGGCAGCGCTGGGGCTGTTACTAGGTGTCCGTGTTGCCTGGCACATGGGGTGAGGATGAGGAGGGAGAGGGACAGCAGGGCTGGCCCTGCTTTGTCCCCACAGGGCTGCTTTCTCCCCAGCACCAGAAGAGCTGGGGAGAAACCCGCAGCTGCATCCTGGGGAAGAGGGGCTGTCCCAGGGCGGGATGCTCTTCCGCACGCCCAGCTCCCTGGATCCGCTCACTATCCCACATCCCATCCTTCATAATCGCGCGTGGCCATGATGCCACCATGGACGTGCCGCGGGTCCCACTCTCATAGAGCCGCCCAGCCCGGTTCCCCCAGTGCTGCTCCATGGAGAAGCCAGCGTCGGGCAAGGCCCCAGGCGGGTTTTCCCTGCAGGGGACCAGGTGGAGACGTGGGAACCACTGGTGGGAACACCGGGAGAATGTCATCTCCCTGCTGCCTCCCTTGAGCTCTGCACCATCCTCCTCCTCCTTCCCAGAAGCAGCTTCTAGCCCAGAGCCAGGCGGGAGGGGGACAGGAATCACAGCTGGGATCRGCCTTCACTGGGATTGGGTCTCATTCCCATGGAATGAGGAGAGGGCTGCTCCTCCAGCCTCCTTTTTGGTGCTCCCAGCTCTGCACCTCGTTCCAGGAGGGAAAACACCTGGCATTGCCAGGRGCATGGTGCCACCCCCGTGTTTTCCCCAAGGTTTTTCCCGGGGGAGGGAAGCGGGGTGGAAACGCGAGCAGGATTTGCAGCAGCTCTGGGGACATTGGTGCAGCGCCCAGAGGGTCCCTGTCCCCACRACCTCTTGCAACCCCCACCTGCCCCCTCCCCAAAATAGGGGGGAGCCCCATTGGTCTGTGCGTGCCCAATCGCCGCCTTGTCGCCAAGGGGCAGCCGGGTGGGATGAGGAGGGATGACGGGTTTCCTCCCCTTCCTCCTCCTCCTCCTCCTCCCCCTGTTGCTGGGAGGAGGCTCAGAGCTGCCCTGGGAGGCTGCAGGGCTGGGGAGGAGGAGGAGGAGGAAGGGGAGGAAGAGGAGCCCTGGCCTTTGTCAACATCCACAGAGCAGCCTAAAGGACGGGGAGCCCCAAAGCAAGAGGGCCGGAACCCCAAACCATCTCTCTGCCCCTCAGTTGTGCCCCCAGCCCCATGCCAGGCTGCGCACCCGGTGCTCTCCCCTCCTGCACTTTTTGCCTTGCTCACAAGCGCACACAAAGTGATTGCAGTTGCCCCTCTGCGCGGGTGCTCCTGCGGGGTTTTGCCTCAAAGCAACCCCCYGAGATAAAAGAAATGAGAAGAAAATCAGCTGGCAGCGAGCGATGGGGTTGAGGGCACCACTGGGAACCACTTTGGAASCGGGTGCGCAGCTGGGACCTTCGGGGCATGGGCTAAATTCTGACCTCAGCTCCGTGCAACCCATTGCAGAGTGGGATTGCTTTGGACCGACATGATCCCCCTCGTGAACTAGAAACCTGGGAACAAAAGTGTTCCCGACCGGAGCGTGGGTGAGTGCAGAACTGCCACCTTCCTGTGCCACCCATGGGTGCATGACGGGTCAGCAATACACATTGATAATTATTAATAAGGGGGAATGTGGAGCCAGCGCTTCCCAAGCGCAGCCGAGGGACCCCGTGTCGCGTCCCTGGTGTCTCCGGTCTGTTTAGGACCAGGCTACGCTGAGGAAAGGGCAGGGGCTTCCTGATCCATGCRGCTCCCATTCTCCGCGTGCCTTTTGTCTCCGCAGCCATCTGTCCCGCGGCCCCGCTGCCACTCGCGCCGCACGTGCCATAAATACCAAGACGGCCTTTGTGTCCATTTCCAGAGCTGCCCRGCACCCGAGCCGGGCTCCAAAGCCTTGGCCAGGTGCCCGAGGCCGGCACGGCACGGGGCACGCGGTGCCCTGGCTGTGCCCRCTCACCCGCATCGGCGTTTGCGCAAGCAGAGCGCTCTGCTCCCCCSGGCTAGCATGGATATAAAGTCCCTGGAAATGGGCCCGTCTGGGAAGGCTGGGGCCCTACCCGGACTCGTGGATGTTGTTGCATGGAGTGGTTCCCACTGACAGCGCTGTTTGCCCGACGGAGCGGGTGTTGTGTCCATGCTGTGTCCGTGTTCCCCACAAATGGGGGTTTGCAACGGAGAGGGGGCAGGTTGGTACCAGCCTTGCCAGGGATGCTCCAACACATCCCAGAGGGATCCAGCTGGTCCCAGGAGGTGCTGCTGCCTCCGGAACCGCACATCCCACCTGGTGCCARCGCTCTGGCAAGTGCCAGGGTACCCGTCCTGAGTCCAAATCCAGCTGGGAATGGATCTGGCATCTCCTGAGGTGGCCATATCCGGCAGAGAGGCCGGGATCTCTTGCGGGTGGGAACACAGCATCCCTGGGAATGGGAATGTGGTGTCCCTCGGGATCAGGAGCACTGCATCCCTGAGAACGGGGGACACGGTGTCCCTGGGAACTGGGAGCACCACATCGCAGGGGATGGAGACACGGCGTCCCYGGGGGTGGGAACACAGTGTCCCTGGGGATGGGGACCGGCCATCGCGGTGCGCAGCCGCCGGCAGCTGCGGCGTGTGGGTGGTGGGCAGGGGGAGGCCGAGGGGGGCCTGGCCGTCGGGCTGCCCCATTTCGCAGCCTCCTTAAACAGCAGTAATTGCCATTCAAACGGTTAATAAGGGGCGCATGCAAATGGCCCCGCGAGCTCTGCCCTCGTCCCCCCCCGGCCTCTGTGGGGAAACAAAAGGTGCCGGGTTTAGTAGGGCATGAAAGGGGAAACAAAACGCGGGCCCCCCGCCGCCCCGGCGCGCAGATGGCACCAGTTGTCCCCGCGCACCAGTTGCTCGCGGCTGCCGAGCAGCCCCTTTTATCCCCCCCAACACGTCGCCAACAACAAAACGCAGCTGAAAGCGGCTGCTCGCCCAGCCCCATCTGCCAGGGTGCCCCTCGGCCACGCGCTTGTCTCCCTGGGGGAGCAGGCAGTGAGTGGGACGGGGCGGTTGTTTGGGGGGAAAACTCTGGGTTTTTGTTAAGCTCGYGAGCGGCAACGTCTCAGCGCGCGCAGCTGCTCCTGGAGCCGCTGTGTGCGGAGCGAGCGGAGGGCAGGCCAGTTGGTGCCGGGTGTGCCTGTGTCTGCAGGGCCCTTTGGGATGAAGGAGCTTTGTTTTCTGGGGGTTATTGCAGTTTTTAGCAGGGGTTGCCAAGGTGGAGCCACGTGAGCATTTGTCTTTGGGTTGGTTTGGGTGYCCTGGCTGGGCATGGGGCTGCAGGGACCCACCGGCACCAGCTGAGAATCCCGACGGTGGCCAGGGTTGAAGGACATGAGGGAGAGGAAGGTCTGTTGGCTGGAGGAAAGGGAACGGGGAGGAAGAACAGACAGGGGCTTGGCAAACCCAGGCACCTGGACCCAAATGTCACCCCTGTCCAAGGCTCAGGGAAGGGCTCGACTCTCCAGAGGCCAAGCTGCAATCCAGGTGGTTTTCCCAGAGCCACTGGCATCCACAAAAGAATCCAGCAAGCTGCAGACTGTGCAACCTCCAGCAACTGGTGCAATSCTGGTGCAAACATCGGGGTGCCAGAGCTGGGTGCTTGCAGAGTTCCCACCGCTCCGGCRGATCCTGGCAAGCTGATCCTGGCTGCCGGGTCCCGCAGGGAAGGGCGCAGCGAGGCCTGAACCTCCCTCCTGYGCCGGAGGCTGGGGAAGGGCAGCGAGCGCCGCGGCTCCGTCTGCCCGGAGACAGGCGAGCAGCTCCCGTGGGATTGGCCTCCGCGCTGCCGAAACAGTGCGGCCGCGCTCTGCCCGGCCGCCCCGCGCACCAGGAAGCACCTGGAGGACGTGCAGGGGCAGGAGGGGCCGCGACGCCTCCGCGCGTCACCTCGGTCCCCGCTCCGTCTGCGGGGACAACAAGGACGGGGGCGGCAGCTCGAGCATTGCGGACGGGCACCYGGCTGCCCGAGCTGCAGCAGAGCGGGGCCACGGGGCGAGGGGCTGCCCTGCCCCTCCGGCCACCACAAACAGCCCGCTCCTCCTCCCCCTTTCTAACCAACTCTCTGCAAACACCAGATTTCTGAAGTTTCTGCTTTTCTGAAGCTTCTGCCCTCCCTCGCTTTGGGGTGATGGGCRGCCACGGGGCTTGGAGCCAGGGACAAGGGGGACGGGCGAAGGGGAGGAGGCTCCTACCGGGAAGGCAAAAGCCACCCTGGCAGCTCCACCTCCCACTTGCTGATGCTGGTTTTTGGGAGCATGGACACATTCAGCTTCTGCAAAAGATACCCAGGAAAGGGGAGCCACCAAAAAAACACCAAAACCCCCAAAAAATGCAAAATGAAAAAAAAAAAAAAAAAAAAAGCTGAGGTCACAAGAGTGTACGTTCCCCAAAGGATGCATCACGTCCTGTCCTGCTCTTCCTCTCCCCAGCAGGATCTCTGCAGTGGCACTGGCTGCAACATGAACATTGTGGGTCCCCGCAGCAGCTCGTGTCCCCAGGCCGGTCCCCACGCGCTGGGTAGGGTTGCAGGGCAAACCTGAGCTGCTGCCAGAGCCACATCAGAGACACCCGGTCACCCGCACTGGCATAACCCGGCCGCAGAGGACAAAGYGGGAGCCAAGCTCCCCAAAGGTGGCACTTCACGGCCCTCCCCAAGCAGCCAGATGAAAAAATAAACTAACTAAAATCAGACAAAAGCTTGGCAGAAAATGAGTCCAGGTTTTGGCAAGGAGAAGATGGGCAGAGAAGGATGAGGGTGGTTTTATTTGTTTTCTGTGTTTTTTTTAGAAGCTGCTGCAGGTTCATACAGACGGCTACTGATTTCCAGGGGATATCGGTCCCCACCACAGGTCTCCTCTGTAACGTGGGGCAAGAAAACAGGATGAAGCTAGAGCCTRGCAGGAAAAAAAAACTAAACCAAGAAAAAAGAAAGAAAAAAAAAATCACAAGAAAAACCGAAACAAAACAGAAAACACCCAGGAAGGGCTCACAGAGCAGAGGCCCAGCCCTGAGGCAGCCCAGCTCCTCCCCRGGCACCAGGTATCGCGCTCTTACCAGAAGAAAAAATGACGAGCAAAATAAAAATAGCAGATGAGTCAGGCAGGGGAAGGCGGGCAGGGGTCTGGTTACCGCAGGTCTCTGAGCATTCCCACACGCAAGAGCTGTATTTTTATCTCGGACGTRAGCGACTCGAGTTGTGGCCGATGCYGGCGCTGGACCCTGCACCGGCCTGGGACGAGCCCCATCCTCCAGCGCCCGCAGGCGGCCTTTGAAGCCGCATGACTCTGAGCTCATGGGGACGATCCTTCCTCCCCAGGCGCCTCCTTCCTCAGGCGGTGGCAACCTGGGTGTGTTCAGCAGAGCTAATGAAGGGATGAGTTTGGAAAGGAGTGCCTCTGACCCAGCACCAGCCCACAAAGTTATTTCCCTGGGAGGGGGTGCAGAGCAGAAAAGCCAAGGAGAAAAAGGGGCTTCACAGCCTGGGAGAGCAGTGGGATCCAACCTTCAGCCCCTCCGCGGTGCTGCTTCCCCAGGGAGCTCGTCCCTCTAGCAGACACGGGACAAAGCTTGAACCTGCGGCCAGGCCACAGCTCAGGGCTGAAGTCCCCAGCCCGCAGCCAGGATCGGCAGCGAATCAGCCCCGACAGCCCCAGAAATCSCACAGTGACCCCAGCACCTCAGTCCCGTGATCTCACCCTTCCTCCTTGGCGCAGTCACCCGTGGAAGGGCAGCCGGAACGGGGAGGTTCAGCAAGGAGAGGCCCTCGAAGATCTGCTTCATGGCTAGGATCTTTCACTTCTGGCTTCCAAGATGTTTTTCTGCTGCTTCTAGAGTTTGGAAAAGGAGACTGGGCAATCTGCTCCCCAATCCTTTCTTGCTGCTCTGGCAGGATCCAGGAWCCCATGAAGACAGTGGATAAATCTCCTGGGATCTGGGCCAGCAGCCCATGGAGACAGCACAAGGAAGAGCAGGGCAGACAGCTCCAGCCCTGCGGTAGCCACAGCCCCATCACCAGACTTCATTCCTTAGCTTTAAGGAGTCAGGAGTAAGGATTTAGGGCCAGCAAGCTGTATAAGAAGCTTTTTTTTTTTTACCCCCCAAGCCTCTTCCTTGGCACATCTGGACATTCACAGCCCTTCCACACTTGAACCAAGCTCACAGCATCTGCAGTGAGGGCTTTAGGCTGAAATCCCAACCGTAACCCTCTTAGTAAGCACAATAAGAGTCCCCAGCAAGAAGACAAGCTCRTTTATACTGCTACATTTTTATTAAAGTAACAAAAGCCTACTTTTGTCAAAGGATCTGTACATTCTGCATATAAAAACATTGCTATACAATTAGTAACCATCCACTCCCTCCTCCAAACACAGCTTACAAGCTTTCTACCATTTTTCACTACATACAAAAAGCAGGTCCCGTTCAACAGTCCAGCTTATTGTTAAAAAAAAAAGGAAAATCCCCAAAATACACGTTATTAAGATACACACCATTCAGCTCTGCAAACAAGGCTACCAGGCTTATAGGCAGAAGGCAACAGAGCACACTAATTCACAGCTTTTACAGGTAACCAGCTACAAGAGAAATGAATTACACCCACGTTTGGTTGKTTTTGAAGCTAAAAATACAAGACACTTTTTAAATGTCACAACTCCTCCATGCCAGGGACAAAGAGAATGAGGTTTGGTTATTTTTGCTTTGAGAACAGGGGCACAGTAAAAGCCCTCGCAGAATATTCCTCTGAGCGTGGGCTGGTTGGCCACAAACTCTTCTGTCGAGACAGAAGGAAGAGTATGAGGGTAACCTTAAAAGACCACATCGACCATAAGAAATGACAACCCAAGGAAGTACCAGCCATTGGGAAACTCCCCACCCAGCCAAGCACACAGTTTGTCCTGGACACGCTGCACGTCTCATCCCAGGCTTTCCACACAACCAGGTGAAAAACAAGGTCTCCAAACAGCATTTGGAGCTCTCCTCCTTGAAATAAAGGAAAGTGTAGTTTACTTTTTGGAAGTTCCCCAATATGCCCTTCTTTGCGACGTTACCTATTGCACAATTTCACCAAGGGAAAAGCCCCAGTGCTTCGCTGCAGCTTCTGCTTTGCTGTTGTGAGAAGTGACGTAGAAGGAAGTGATGCAGCTTCAGCACTAGTCTGCTATTACTGCTCAAGGACAAGCAACTCACCCCTTGGCATCTTTACAGGATAAAACAATCGAGGCTGGTTTTCCAGTTCAACAATTCATGATTCAGAACTACAAAAATCCAGACCTAGCTTCTCACATAAGTAATTGGAGAGTTGGGAAGCTCAGCTGGATTTTCTTATAYGCTTAAAATAAACAAGCTAAGAACTGTGGCAACTGGGAGGCTTCCTTCCTCTCCCAGAGCATCCAAGATTTGGAAATATATTGCACAAATGTTTGAGAACTTGACTCAAAGACTGGGAAAGAACAACTCTGGTTATGCCAGTCAGCTGCCAGGTCAGAAAGGAAGGCTAGAAACAAGAGCTGGGAAACAAATCGGAGAAGTTTCGTTAGACCAAACCACGTCAATGCCCTGGGTTTCAGGTCACTTCTCCCTGGATTACCGTGGGTCATTATAAAGGCAATGGACATGGAGCGTCCTGGTAAAGGCTCATTCCCAACAGGCAGATAAAGGTCTCGGGCAGCACTTGCCGTTCCCACCCTGTCAGCARTTGCCAGAGCAGGTGAAGGGCCAAATCCTGAGCGCTCCGGCAAGTCTCCCCAGCCGCACGTACCATGAGGACTSCCAGATTCCACTTGAACAGGCAAAGCACGGAGCAGACAGCAGTTGTGCAAAACACTTAGATACCAAAGAAACCAGAACCWGCCGATGCCCCTTTGGCACCAGGCACAGCTCCCACCATCAGCCACTCGCCGCTTACTCGGAGGAAGAGGGGGAAGTGTTTGAATTTAAAAATGCCATGACACCGTAGCACCCAAAATCTCAGCCTTGAAAAAGCTTTGGAACTGCCAGGACCACCCCAGCAATGGGAATGCTCATCCCAGGAACCTTCTCYGGACAGCCGGGCCCTCCGTGCATCTCTGCTGTGCTCCATTTCACAGGGCACCCACATCCCCAGGGGCCTTTTCTGACAGATGCAGAGGTTGGGGTGGCCCCATGTCCCATTGGTTCACATCAGGAACGGGGCAGAGCAGAGCTGCAGAATCCAGCAGGTCCAGAGAARATAGGGGAAAGCAAGGAGAGGGATCCCTAGTACCACCAAGCCCTGAGGCTAGGAAAGGTCCCCCCAGATGCCACATCCAGGTCCCAGAGTTCAGCCCAGCTGGGAAGTGGGGGGTTAGCGAGGGAAACAGCACCTCCCTCATCCCTTCCCCAACAATACTGCGATACTTGGTGACACAGCAGCACKGTTGGGTACTGGGACCAGGCAACACAGCCACCTCCCAGCACCAAGCCATGCTTCCCAGTGCTGCTCTTCCCCCTCTTCCTCCATTCCAAGCTGCCYGAGTGAGCAAGCCAGCCCACTAAAATTGCCATCCAATACTCATTAGGTAGATATCGGCTTCATAATAAAAACTCATAAGCTTGCAACAGCTTTAAAAAAAAGGCACCTGGGGCACTGCTTCTGTCCAAAGCAGCGCCCAATATTTTAATTTTGGATTTTCTTGGATTTTTTTAAAAAATATAAATAGCTCTTCATCTTAAAAATAGATCCTCGGGTGAGGTATACAGTAGCCTGTGTCTCGGCGGCGTGAGGACAAGAGGAGTGTTTAGCTGGAGACGGTCATGATGTAGTTTTTGGAAGGGCTGGTGCGCCCCAGCATCATCTGGTTCTTGCAGGCGAGCATCCCGCAGGAGCTGCCGGCCTTCGCGGCCGCCGCTTCGTACAAGACGCAGATGGAGCCGTCCTCGCCGATGCGGTAGGACACCTCGTAGGGGTCCACCCAGAGCGTGAGCTCGCTGGGCAGCAGCTGGTAGAGCTGCGGGAGGCTCAGTCCGATGCGGCTCGCCGCCTTGCTGATGATGGGGTCCATTTTGTGGTTGATGCGGATGCAGCGGTAGCCGGAGCCTTTGAAGGGCTTCTCGGGGAACCAGTGGTGCTTGTAGTGCTCTGCAAGAGAGGAGCAGCGGTGAGCGGCGGCTCTGGGGGGGCAGCGCCCGCCCCATCTCCCTCCACCAGGCAGAGGATCCAACACTGAGYGCTCAGCTGCCCCATTCCCAATAGCTCCAAGGGGTGACGGAGGCTCTGTGGGTCCTGGGAAGCCCGGCCAGGACGCGGCGGCCGGGCCGGGAGCCGATACGGTATCGGCAGCGGCGGGGCCGGCGCTCCCGGGGCCGCATCCAGGTCCCGCCGCGGTCCCGTCGCTCCTATCTCCGCGCAGCGGCARCGAGCCGCCCCTTCCCGGGAGCGATAAAGCGGGAGCGGGGCCAGCTCGGGAGCGGAGCCCGGGGTGCCCGCGGAGGCACCGGCACCCCCTGGGTGCGGGCGAGGAGGCACCCGGTGTTGGGGGGGACACACGCAGCCCCCCACSCCAAGGGACCCGCGCGGAGCCCGGGGAAGGGCCCGGGGGGGCTCCCGTCCCCGCGGCTGCCCCCGGGGCGCCGCTCCCCGCCGGGCCGGGCGCTCCGCGTCTCACCTGCGAGCGCCTCCCGCAGCGCGCCGCTGAACACCTGCAGCCGCTGCTCGCTCACGCAGCCCCGCGCGCGCAGCAGCCCGGACACGAAGCCCGCGGCGGCGGCGATCTCGGGGGCCATGTCGGCCCGCGGGCCGCTGCGGCGCTGGCGCTGGCTCATGGCCGCGGCTCCCGGCACGGCGCAG